ATAACCATCCCAACCAGTTCTCTGTTTAATTCATGATTAGAGACCTGGACGGTGCATGGGTCTGCCCATCTCTGAGGCCATATGTGTGTGTGTGTGTGTGTGTGTGTGTTTGGCCTGTAGTGGAGACCTACAATGACATGGCTTTCAGTGACATCTTCCTGCACCTACTGACTGCTCACCTCACCCTGCTCTCTGATGAGTTCGGATCAGAGGAGTTCTGCTCTGTTGTCTTCGACAGCTTCCTCCTCACTTCCTTCTCCAGGTTAGTTTCCTCTCGCTGCTGCCATGATCACTTCCGCTCTTAATAAGCAATCATTTGGAAACTGAATTCACAAGTATACATTTATTTCGTTTTCTTATTCAACACATGGTCAGAGTTGTACATACATACTCAAATATCCAGTCATGTTATCACTAGCTATGGGACGTGATTAAAATGTTTTCTCGAGTTAATTGCAGGGTCTGTAACATCATCAGCAGCAGCCATCATGAAGTCAACTCTACACTGTATTTGAAGGTGTTGAAGTGAGGGAGCGACTATATAAACCATATTTAACTTCCTTAAAGTTAAACATGTCTATTGTGTATTTTCCAGGCTCATAGTGCCATTTTATAGCACAATAAAGTAACTATGTTACCTTCAATTGTTATAAAAATGCTGCATATACATATACAATGACTTGTAAGAAATTTTGCTTCTTAATTTAATTTCTTCAAATTGGACCTCTGTCTCTTTAAAAACTCCTTCTTTTTCTGAAACTGCTGTCAGGAAGTCATCACAACATCACACCTCTATTAACCCTTTAATGCTTTCACTGACATTTCACTGAGAAGTAGCTCCTATAATGAGCTCTGCAGATGTGTAGTTACACTACACATCAGCTAATTGCTGCTGGCTAGTCTCAAGGAGCAGAGTTAGGAGAGGTTATCTGTGAGGCAAAAGCATGGAAGCTGCATATCTGGGGAGGAGCTGAAGTTTTAAGGCAGTTTTAAAGCAGTGCTAGGTCCAATTATGTGTTCTGCAAAACTGAGTGGTTGCCGTGGAGATTAAAGGATTTCTCAGACATGCATGAAAGGATCAAGGCAACACTCTAGGTATGTTTTTGATGAGAGATTAACATTATTAAAGATGTAAAGTTCAAAAACGTTGATTTTGCATAATACTGCCCCTTTAAAATGTGAGTCAAATACAAACTTAGGTTTATTAGGAGTTATTAGGTTAATTATTTTTGCTTAAGCATTTAAGACTTTGAAAAGTCTTAAATGTAACTGATCATTTTAGGAGATGAACTCTGTTTCAAGACAGACACCCCTTCTTCTGCTGATGGGAGTGATGTTAGCATTAGGTTGCTAATGAAAATTAGCACACCCACCAGCAGAGGATTCTGGGATTTGCAGTGTTATTATAGTAGATGTTTAGAATAATCTCACAAACCAAATTTAATTACACTGTTGGCCGTTTTTGGCCCAACAGCTATACTTTGACACACATGCTGTCAGAGCTTCCATACAGTAGTCTCTTCACTGTCTGCATGTGCTTGACTCCACTTTAAGGCCACCTGTTTAGTTTTCTATCAGCTGGTGTTGAGCAGATTCATGATGGTTTTAGTCTTGGTGTATCAGTTGGTCTGTTCCTCCTGCAGCTTCTCGTCACACTGCAGAACCACTTACTTACCAACAGGAAACATGAGGCATGTCTTTCACCACAAGTTCCATATAGATATGGTTCTTCCTCTTCATCACTTCCTGTCTTTAGTACAGAGTTTACAATCCTGAAGAGTGATTAGTTTTTCCATCGTTAATGTTGTAAGAAGTTAGTCATAAGCCAGTTATGCTGTGTGTTTTGAGACCATTTTCAACTAATATTGTAATAATGGCCTAATAATGCAAGAACTGTCTCATTCAACCTTCAGCTGAAGTAAAGACGGGATCTGGCATTTTGTCGTCCAGGCTGGTAGAAGGAGAGACAGGAGGAAAATAAACAAATAATCACTCAAAGGGAAATTATTGAGCTTATTTTAATTTATCTTATTGTGACAGGCTTATTTATAAGGCGACAGATGAGTGAGAAATATTTCTATCCATCTGTAAACTTTCCAAACAGAAGTTTTTCACATCATTTCAGGTCTGCCGTTTTCTTTTAAAGAAATCTAAGTTTAATTCACATGTTGATGAAACGATTGTATTCCATAATAGAGAGGTTACACATCCTTTAGTCATTTCTATTTTCTATTTCTATTTAAGACTGCTCCCACTAAAAGATTCAGAAGGACCAGAATGGTTTAGTAGGAAATGAAATGATTTTGGCTGTTCATTATGGGATGTAGGCTTCATTCTCACTCATGGCTTTCTACCTGGGAATGCATGTGACCGTTTCTGTGTGTGTACGTGTGTGTGTTTATTTCACAGTAAAGAAAACGTCCACAGACACATTCTACGCATGTTGCTGCATCTCCACCTCAAAGTGCTGCCTTCATATTTGGAAACGCTGATGCAAACACTGGAGCCCCCAAAACAGGTAGGCATGGTTTCCACGGTTTCCACTTCCAGCTCATTTATTCCAGGGTAAACAGGAAGTCTCAACATGCTTAGGTCTCGACATGAAGGTAGGGCTGATCAGGCGCAGCAGCTGCAGAGAGTTGTCTCTGAGAAAGTTATCTATTGTTACCTTGTTAGATCTATAATGGCTAACACTTTTTCTTTTTACAAATTTAATAAAAACCCTGCGTCACGTTTGTCCTGAGCTCTTCTCATCCCAGAGATTTGCAGTAGCTTTGACTCAGACTGTCTCAGGCCCTAACAGTAACACCTACATGATCTTATGAGCCTGTGCAAAGTTCCTATTCTGAGGATTCACACCAGCAGCCCCAGACTCACTGCTCCACATCTGACTCACAGTCTTAATGTCACACACTTACCTTTCCCTCATCTGCTGAGTGACTGCAGAAAGTTGTTACTGATTGTCTCCCAGAATCACGTGTTGCTCTGGATCAAGTTAAAGTTAAATGCTTGAAAAATGTGGGCCATCATGTAATGAGGGATGGTTCTGAGTCCTGGATAGTGCTGACCTGAAGATGAGACGGCTCAGATCCCGGCTGATGCTTTCTGGACCTTTGCTCTTGTATACAGAGAGTGGACATGTAACTCTGTCTGGCTTTGTGTCAGAGTTGCTTTGCAGCTCAAATCTAAATATAAATGGCTGATTAGAGCCACGGAAATGGTAATGACCTGTACCTGAATAGCACTTAAGTCCAGAGGACCCCAAAGCGCTTCACACTACATTTAGTCATTCATCCATCCACACACACATTCACACACTGATGGTAGCAAGCTACTAGACAGTAGCAACAGCTGGGGCAGTCTGACCATGTACCAGTGCCACTGGCAGGGGAAAGTGGAAGTCTGACGTTATTTGTCTGGGAATGGCCTGATAACAAATGTGCGCAAATCTGTGTCTATATTATGCTAATGTCAAAAAAACACAAATTTGCAATTTTGGTGTTCCCATTAAATAAGAAGTCAAATTAAAACCACAAGTGAATAGTTTATTCACATGATAAGTCATTAAAAATCATGGCAGCAAAGAATGTAAACAGTTAAATGAGATTATATTCACAATTTAGCCATGGAACTAGCGCTCATCGTTTATCAGAGACGTCTGTGTCTTATTCAAGTGTCAGACTGACCAGCCCCTTATACTTGTGAGTGGCTTCATCATTTGTAGAGGGATATTTTACACAAAGTTTAATATTTTGGAATGATACACAACTTTGTATAAACTGTGTGATGCTGGGAGAGCTCTGGTGGAGCCAGCTGCACATTGTCCAAAAACCAAAAACGAACCATCATCCTCCTACTTCCTGTCTTAATAGTAGTACTTCCTACTATGACAGGACATAGGAAGTACTTCCTGTACGAAGAGAAAATGATACAGGAATTTCTGTACGATTTTCTCTTTCACGAAGAGAAAATCTTCTCCGTGATTTTCTCCTGTAGTAACACCTGTTGATCACATGTCTTGTGATCAACAGTCAGGAAAAGGAAAAGGAAAAAAGTGTTTCCTTTCCAGTTTTGTGAAGTACATTTATTTTGATACGGCTGGAAAAACCACTTCATCGTACCGCAAAAACCTTTTATAGAAAAACAGGAGTTTTTCTAAAATTGCCTCGTTTCCATTAAGCAAATATATTTTTGTAATTTTGATTCACACAATTCCATGGTCAATGGAAACGCAGCTTGTATCAAATGGTCAACCTTCTGTTAGGTTTCTTTAAAATCTGTCACTTCAGAAAGTTCAGATTGGTTCTAAAAGCTTTCTGAATATAAACCCTAATAACTCTCCCTGTATCATAAAGTAATGGAGATATTTGATGATTAGGATCCTTGAAGCCGTTTTGAGCTCAGCTCTCATGCGCTCCCCTGCATGCTGACTCATTCTGCCATGCTGTGTATTACAGTGCAGTGAGCCGCTAAAGGAGCTGCACAGTCAACTGACGGAGAAGCTGGAGGCCCACAAGAAGAGTCCGACACCCCCAGACGAGCCTACGTCTCTGGACCTGGGGCTGCATCCTGTGACGGTGCCCACCACCTCCTCCTCCTCTGCCCCAACCACCCCGGTCTGAGGGGGGCCGCCAGCGAAATATTTTTACTGGCTGCTGGCCAGATGGACGTTATGCATTTCTGTGCTGGATGAGTTTTTTTCTCTGTCACCCTCTGTAGGTGTTAGATGTTTCTCTTTTGCATTGTGATTCAGCATCTGAGTATTTTCCTTTTGGATGTTTTTTTTTTCTACAATTGTTTCATTTTTGTGTAGAAATATAGTATTTTCATACATGACTCAGTTATCTGTGTGAAATATTTGATCTGTGCCAGTGGTGTAAATAAACTGTTATTTACAAAACTCATTATTTTTTCCTATGATGCTGGTTCAGATCTTGAGCAGTGTTGCGTCACATTATTTGGCAAACCACTAGCAATTTAAGTTCTACATTATCTAGCACTTACCCACAATGTGAAAAACAAACACACTCATTTGGCAACTTCCCATGCAGCTACTGACAAGTGTGACAGATGAGATGATATTCACCCTGACAACAGGTTCTGGTAAGTTCTCTCTAAACTATTATATATAAAGAACCAGCTGCATTTAGAAGCTAAACAATGTTTGTTCAGGTGTTTTAGCTTAAAAGATGTTTAGTGAACTGAATTAAATTGGGATGGAGTGAAATATATGTGGGGACTTTTAGTGTTATCTGTGGTGAGTCTCCCAGAATACTGACATTAGATCTGATAGGTACCTGAGTTTTATTTGATACTGTAAAATGGATGTTATTTTGTAATAAGTTGGATGCTACATATCATTTATATATGCAAAATAAATAAAAAAAAATGAGTCAAAGTGAAAACCTCATTAAATGCAAGATAACTTTAGCCACTGCTGTTGTAGAATTCTTTCCTCTCAGCCAAAGTGCTGCAGCATTTATAGAATATCCAGTTGTGTACAGATGAGACCTTTACATTATCAGGTACATCTACAAATGAGACCAGGTTTTAAAAAATCCAAATAGGACTGTTGATGCATTCATGTGTATTGTAGCAACACCTTAGTAATACTCATGCACTAAATATTAGCTTAATCACACCAAAATGTGATGAGAATAGGCAGATTCTGTATTTACATGATGGGAAATAGTACCAATGATATTTTAGTTCAAATTTAAATTAACTTTGTTCTGGTCAACTTTTTGTACTGTAACTGTAAATCCTTCATTTACAGACATTTTCTTCTCACTAAAGTTAAATCAGAGCAAACATCTATTATTTTAGATCAGTTACAATTACAAGAATATTTCTATTTGCCGAACACCAGAAAATCTACTAAGAACATTTTAGACATTTATTTTCTATCCATCCATCCATCCATTTTCTTACACCCTTGTCCCTTAGTGGGGTCAGGAGCGTTGCTGGTGTCTATCTCCAGCTATCGTTTCGGGCGAGTGGCGGGGTCACTGGACAGGTCACCAGTCTGTTGCAGCATTAATTTTCTAGCTTTCTTCAAATTCATAAGTTGACATGCATTTAGTCAGTATCTAATCTGTGTAACTGTGGATGTATTCTGAGGCCAGACCTGGAACACCCTGCTTTCTGTTTTGACATGTTTAAAAATTCAACAAATATCAGGAGGAGAATTGTGCAGCTACACAAGCCTGGTTCATCCTGGGATCAATTTCCAAACGCTCGAGAATGTCGCATTCATCTGTCCAAACTGCTATGCACAAGTATGGACAATTTCTCATGCAATAACTGTGAGAATTTTAGAAAACTCAGTCATGCAGTTTTAGATAATTTTCCTCAAGAAGATAAATGACCACCAATAAAATCCTTTGTCTTATGTGTTTAACCGGTTGTATGTAAACATTTCAATATTTATAGAACTGGCTAATATTAATAGAAGTCTTTCTTGTTGTTTGAAAACCTGGATTTACTGAAGTGAACCGCCTGAGTCGCCGCACGATTTCACCACAGTGAAATGTCAGAACTTTGCTTTGAGGAAGTGTGATGGGATCAGCTGGGTGTGAGGTGTAAACGCATTGCTTCTCAGTTCTGTATGAACAGTAAGATCAGGAAAAAAATGTTGTGGTTAATTCAGGGATTTTTTTTTTTTTTGACTCGCTTCAATAAATAAAACAAAAGAAAGAATGAAAAATGTACAACATAGCAACCTACTCACCAGTTCTGCTTTAGTTCAGATGACCAGAGCACTTGATGGGGGATCATGAAAAATTTAAGTTTTCTAATTAACTACATATTTAAAAGAAAAATCTATCAAGCATGTTAAATGATATAAGCAATAAAAAGGAACATATTTGCATGAGGAAAAGATACATTTTCTGTGCTGCCATAGATTGGATTCAAGAATTCAAGGATTTGTAGATACTCTTTTTGATTAGGATTTTGAAATAATGGTATAATAATGGAAGTTCACCTTCCCAGAGTTCAATACATTTTAAAGCACTTTACTCTGGAGTGGGAGGATACTTTAAATGTTAAGAAAAAAGGAAAGAAAACTACCTAAAACAGTAAATAAAACATAAATAAAACCTCACACAACCAAAACCATAAATAAAAGGGATTATGCTCAGTAATCATCAGGATGAAAATTATTGAGCTCCTGTCGATTAATTGATTTATTGCTTATTGCAATAGCCTTACACATACATAAAATTTTATTGATAAATAGTAAAGTATCGTGGTTTTAAATGTGGTCTCAGTTCTCCTATTTTATAAGGATCTTCTGATATTTGAGTACTGTCACATATATTTATTTCTTTAATTCCAAAAATATCAAACTAGAAAGAGAACTAAGAAACTGCTGTCCAGAGGTTAAGTACAAGGGTTTGAACAAGAAGAAGGCATAGAGATTGTATGAGTGTATGAACTGATGAGGAAGCATATTGGTCCACAGTCATAAACAGAAAACAATCTATCATGCAAAAAAGGCGTTAAAACTGTTTTTAAACAACCAATAAAAATTCACAATTGCACATCTGAAATGAGCTTTTGACGTGAATCCCCTTTTTAGTGTGTTTGTGTTAGAATAGAATAGAATTTATTGAGTCGCAATGGGAAGAAAGTCCAAATATGGTCATTTCCTGCTGATAGATTATCACCAGCAGGGTTTCAAACTGCAAATAGAAAAAGCAGAACCAAGAGACAAAAAAAACATCAGGAGACAAACCTGCATTTAAACTTAATTCACTTAATGCCTCCCTGCTCCATCACAGCAGGGAGGCAGTCATTTAGAAATTCTGTAAAAATCCTCAAATGCATTGGAACAAAAATGGATGCACATTTTGTTGGTTTAAATTTCACTAGATGGGACAATATGTCTCCACCAGCCTACTGCAAGGCATGCAAAATTGGTATTCACATTTTGCATGCCTCAGAGAATATTAAGGTAATCAACAAGAACTAACTGCTGCCACTTTTTGATACTTTCATTTCTATTTTTAAAGTATAAAAAGGAAATGGTCTTCAGCTTTTGCAACCAGCCTGTTTGAGTTTAAAAGCAGATTTCAATGTTCTGTCTTTTCTGCATATTTTCTTTCTGCCATAGTTGTGTTTTTGAGCTCAGTCTACAACCTTATTATGATCCAGATATTAAGATTTTAATCAGGAGAGTATATTTTACTAAAGCACTACCCTGCCTTTTTGCTCACAGGTTTTGCAACGACAACCATGGTGGAAGTGAGCACTGTTGGGGATTTCACAACACCACTAACCACCAACAACTCCCCATCTCATTGCCAGGGGGAGAACCAGCATTTTGCTCTCACCTTCTTCCTGTGTCTGGTCTTCTTCATCGGATTCCTCCTAAATATGTTCAGCTTGTGGGTGTTCTATTGTCGTTTTCCATGCTGGACGTCTGGAACCACCCTGCAGTTCCACCTGGCCCTGAGTGATGCCATCGCCACCCCGGTAACCCCCATGATGGCTGTGTACTTCGCCATGGGTAATGACTGGCCCTTCGGCCGGTTCCTCTGCCAGGTCAAGATCGCCCTGCTGAGCTCACATTTTTACGGCAGCACCATATTTCTTACTCTCATCAGCATACATCGCTACATTACTGTGGTGCACTTCAACAAAAGCTGCCACTTCAAACGGAAGGCTTTTGTTCAGAAACTCTGTGCATGTGTTTGGTGTTTGTTGGCAATCCAGGCTCTGGTCTATGCAATCCTGCTCCCTCCCAGCAAAGAGAAAGGGAGCAGTCAATGTCTCTCCATCCATCAGAGAAATCTGACCGATTTCTACTTCATCATTAACTTCTTCCTGTTCATCTTTGGATTCCTGATTCCTTTCTCTGTGTCTGCTGTCTGCTATGGCCGCTTGGCAAACACATTGACTAACCTTAACAGCAGCACAGCCAAAGGTCTGAAAGTCAAGCTGAAATCTCAGAGGATGATAGGTGTGTGTCTGCTTATATTCGGCGTGTGCTTCCTGCCTTTGAATATTGTACGAACTCTCGGAGTCGTGCTGAAGAAATTCTTTCCAGAAAAATGCGATGTTCTCCAGCAGATTGAGACGGCCTACTACACCACCTGGATCTTAGCTGGTGTCAACAGTTGTCTGGACCCGGTGCTGTACTGTTTTGGTTCTCAGAATTTTCGAGATGCATTTCAGTCTTTCCAGGCTGGGAAGGTGGATGTTCCGAACAGACCGAACAGAAGTGAATCAGAAATGACTGCAAATCAGAGAGAGATGGATTAACTGAAAGCCAAAGCATAGCTTGAACCATCTGATCATCTTTACAACTTGAATTATTGTAAAGATGGTATTGACCTCATGGAGACTGAAGTGATCTGGAAAGTTACCAAGTTGTATTTCTTTCATGAGTTAGTTGTATTATTCCAGTATTAACAAAAACTCCTGGATTGTAGTTATGTGTATTTTTGATTAATAATTTTCCACTTGTTGCAAATTGAAAAATAATCAAGATTCAAACATTTTAAATTTGTTTAACGTATGCTAATGTGTGTGTAGTATAATAAATTGTAAAATTTGTTTAAAAGAAGCCTTGCCTATAATGTTCTGTCCTGGGGGTGACTTATGGGTTCCTTCACAGGGTTCTTTTTGAGCCAGGTGGTGGCGCTAGTGAGTCAACACCATCACCAGCCACCTTCCTTCCCTAGAGATGAAGGAAGCAGAAAAATGGAAGCAGTACAGTTTCTGCGCGATCATGTGAATGATCGAGGTTCTCAGTTGGAAAGAGAACCTCCACGTGTTGAACCAGAGACACAGGGAGCCTGGATTTGAGGATCCCTGCAGTACAGTTTTATCAATTACAGACAGTGAAGCTACAATAGATCAAATATATAATAATCCATGTGTGGTCATATTGAGAAATGCAACATCAGCTCAGGTTTTTCATTTGTTCAGTTTTTAAAGTTCAGTTTTCTTTTTTTTTTTGCTGCTTATTCTGCCAAATATTTCCACATATTTGTGTTTTAAACTATTATTCTTCATTAAGATGCTATAATTGCTTAAATTAGTCATTTAATAATCACAAAGAACGTGGCATATTTATAAACTTATCCTAGTAGTTGTATTTCCTAACTTGGGATTTCAGTGTTAAAGTAAAAATTCTTGAAATATTTGTTGACTTGCGGGACGATGACTTGATCCCACCTTGCAAAAAGAAAAGGGGGTAATTATAAGGGTATGACGTCTAGTCCTGGAGATAAAAGTTGCCCAAGATTACCTTGGAGCTGCTGGTGACGTCAACAAGGGGCGGAGTTAGAGAGCCAGGTACTGAGTCCTGCAGTTTTTGTGCGCTTCTCAGGTGATTGTTGGTTTCGGTGAGGATAACATGGGAAAACTGGAGGCCTTCGAGGTCGAGTTTAACGAGAACAAAGTTGTGTACACTCCGGGAGAGTCCATTTCTGGGAAGGTGACAGTCAAACTGAACCAGCCGATCCAATGCAAAGGTAGGTACCTCCTCTGAACTGTCTCCGTCTCCCCCCTGGTGGGAAATGTTCCTGTCGCTGAACAAGGAAGTGGGGAAATGAGTCAGGCTCAAGCAGAGTCACGCAGCTCCGTTTTACTTCGAGACCTGCTGGATTTAGGAAAGCTCCTTGTAGTCTGTGGGACGTTTTGGACCACCTGTATGACCGGGTGGAGCTGGGCGGGTTTGGGGAGGGTTGAGGGGGCAAGTGGGTGGTGAAGAGGAGGTTGGAGTGTTTTTAGAAGTCAAAAGATTGAAGCATAACTGTTGTTTAAAGTCGACGTTGCATCTTTTACATTTGTAATTAACTGCTGATTATATGTTTTATACAGGTTATTTATTTATGCAGTCAGTTTAAGTTGCGTCATTTATCATATGAGGTACTGGAAACAAAGGCCTCAAACAACGAGGGAAAACATGAGCAGACTTGACTGGCAGCGTTTCAGTGAACTAGTTAAGCTTTGTAGTTTTCTTGACGAGTATTAAATACCAAATGGAAAAAATAAATTGTGTAACTTTTGGTTGACTGCACTGGGAATTCATCTTATAAAAACAACACAGGAATGCTTTCCCATTTCCCAGGACATTCTTGGGAAAGCATAACCTGTCAACCTGCTTTAACAGGTTACCTGTTAAAACATCAGCTGACCTGACTCACTGTTTCAGAACTTCCTTTTCTGTTTGCATGTTGTTGCATTTTAAGAACACTAAATCATTGTCATCCATTGTCTTGCATAATAATAGAACATACACTGAAACTAGTAGAAGTCAAGCTGGAAAAATGGACTGTGGAACTGGAAATGAGAGCCCAACCCATCCAGTTTGTGCTAGAGCGACGCCTAGATGAGATGATGAGAATTCACTCTTCTCAGTGATGGAAATGAAAACTAAACCATTAGGAACTCTTGTGTCATCAGGAGAAGGGAAAGGGAAAATGGTCACACAGATACTTTTAAATCGTTGGTTTTTCTACAGACACACAGACCTCTTCACTGAGACGGGACCAAAATGTTCAGACACAGAGTCATGTTTCTGGGCTGATTCTCACAGGCTGAAGGTGGCTGAAACTCTGCTACCTTCCCACTGAGAGCTGATTCCCATGTTGGGAGTGGCTCTGTGTTTGTTGTCCTTCAACTTAGTTGACATTCCTGTCGTTCTGCCTGTCCTCTAACCTGCTGCAGGCTCAATCATTTGGACATTCTCATTCAGGGTTTGAGGCCAATGGTTTTAGTCTTAGGAGTTAAATTTTCATTCAGTGGATTTTCTCAGGTCATTAAAGAATTGTTTATCTGTCACTCTCAAAATGCTTTTATATAAGTCAGTGGATCTATCAGGTCATCGATGTCATCAGGACAGTTAAGAGTTTACAAAATTTTTCCAAAGCTTTTCTTTTTCACATATCATGACTAATTGTAGAAATATGAGCATACCTTTCTAAACTTTTTGGAAGTTATTTCTGCCTTTGTGGCAGTAGATTATCCTGCCACCTCTGAAGCATTCTGCTGCACACTGACACCACACCAAAACCTGGCATGATTCTATTGGACCATGTCAGGATGCTACAGAAGATCATGCAACTATTAGATGACTTGTATTAAGTTGATATGCCAGTATATGAGTACAGTCATTGACTCATTTAGTCATTTTCTCTACAGATGTACTAATTAGGCTGATCGGGCTTATACCCATGTCCAGTTATGTCAAATTCAGATTATTTTTTGGGGGGGCTCTAGTGACCTTTATTGAACTGTATTGGGTGGTGAGAGAAGGGGGTAAAGGCATCAAACCCAGAGCTCTGCCAGGACTGCAGCCTGTGCTCACGGTGCACCTGCCAGCTGAGCCACTCGGAGCCGCTGGGTTTTCTTTTATAACTACAGAACATACAACTAGATAAATGGATAAATGTAGAAATCATTGACCATAAAAGGAAAAAAAAAATGCAATAGTTTCTGAAACTGTAAAAGTAATTTTGAATCTTTTACAAGATCATTAGTATTCATGCATGTAACCACATACCTGACCTCTCTTGCATTCTCATTAAAATAAAAAAAAGCTAGAGTAAGTAACATGCTGTGGCACCTTTACTCACTACAAAGAGAAGAAGTTTCTGTTCTAATAGATTTGATTAATATTAAAACAAGCATTTCTTATTTTTCAGTAAGGAAAAAGCTTCCTGATTTGTTGGTGCATCACTAATTTATCTCCACAGTTGTTTGTACTAAGGAGAGTGAGTCTATAGAGTCAGTTACAGAAGGAATGATAAGAACTGTGGTTTCAGTATGAAACATGTAATGTGTAACTTTATCGACCGATGTGAAAACATTAATCAGCAGTTCTATTAGCACTGGTGATTGCTGCAGAAAAGTTCCAGGCTAAAATACTGGCCTGATGGAGTTTACATATTCTCCTCGTACGTGTGGATTCTATCCAGGTGCTCCAGCAAATATTTTAACAGTATTTTCAAAGCAAGTGTGATCAACAGTTGTGCCACATTATGACATTTCTCCCTGTCTGTATTCATCACTGGCGCTTCAGTCTGATGCATGTCTGCCTGACAAACTGAGGATTTATTGTTATTCTTAGCACAGTTGTTGCTGTTGCTACCATTACAGAAGTGGTTATACAGCATGAAGTTTGTGTATTTCTTGCTGTTAAACATCTTGTCTCCTGTTAGCTCCGTATGGTGGAGTGTGCAGAATAAGTTAATATCAAACACTTCATTTCTTACAGTAAAAATGATAGCAAATGATACTTTGTAAATAGTCATCCTTCAGTTGCATAGTTTTGCTTTATCGTACAACATCTAAATGAGTAAATATGGGCTTTAAGGCCCAGTAGAGCAGCAAAGTGGAACACAGTTCTTTCTGTTTTTTATTTATTTTTTGTAGATTCACAGATGTTTATGCACATGGTTTTCATTTCAACAGTAGAGATTCCAGAGTAGATTTTTATTTATTTATTTAATTTTTTTTTGGTAACTTAACATAATTGCTGAAAGTTGCTTAAGCTATTATTGCTCAGATTCTGGTTCATTTTTAAATCCATGTCCTGTGTGTTTTTTTTATTTCATCCACAGTCATCAAAGTGAGCTGCAATGGTTTCTGTGGCATCACCAGTAAGATAAATGACACCGCCTGGACAACAGAGGAGCAGTACTTTAACAACACCATCTCTGTTGCCGACAAAGGTACAGTCCAACACTGATGGCACTGTTTTCTTTAGCAAGTGGGCTTGTCGGGATTATTTTTGACATGTTTATTAAGTAAATATTGATGTGACTTCTTTGTCATCCAAATGATAGTAAGGTGTGTGTAGCTGAAGTGTAAAGACTGCACAAATGAAAGCTGCATCTGTCCACTGCAGCCCTGGGTGGAAAACAGGAGGCTGATTGTTTCTGTGCTCTCTTTGCAGGAACCCTGAAGCAGGGCGACCACCAGTTTCCCTTCAAGTTTCTCATTCCAGGTAGGACAGATGAGTGACGTGATGAATACATGCTGCTTTGCATTCTTTCCCATGATAGTGGGTTTTGCCCTTGCAATTCCAGTCAGGCTGCAATGTTTTGCATGTGGATTTATACTGTCATTGCAGCCTGGACTGGCAACAGTTACCTGGACTCAGGACACTGATTTTTTTATTTTATTTTTTTTACTACTAGGGAGTGAGAGAAAATCTTTCCAGATTTTCATTTTGGAGCACTGAGCAATCAACAACCAAGACTTGTTTTAGGAATTATTCTAAAAAGTGTCCCTTGATACAATGGTGCCAAATCAGCTGTTGATGCACTAACAGAGCATATCAACACATACATTGAGCCAGGGTCCTCAGGCTGTCTGGCTGTTATGGCAACTTGAGAATTC